GATAAGAAATACAACTGTCATTATAAAATATTTACCTTGATACATGCTTCCCAACCTCCTAAAGAGCACAAAGGAGATGTGTGTGTTGCAATATGAAAGATAGTCAATATATTCCATACAGTGGTTTGGGAAAGCAAGAATTACTGTTGTATAAAATCTTGTCTTCCAAATAGTGCATACTGGGAAAACATCAGATCCCTCTATTACTTCACATAGAGGACTTCCCTTCAGGTAGTAAAAGGGGGGAATGACAAGGTCAGAGTTAAATTTAGCACAGTTAAAGCAGATCCTTCCTATATAGGGACTGGCCAGCGGGCTACCTCAGATCCCTCCAGAGCTTGCTAATGCACAGATACCTCTGCTTGGAAGGTATGCAAGTTTAAAGGCTTAATATAACAAGAGAGGGAGAGTCTAAAAGAACAGACAAAGTTCAGTCTATGGCATGTTTCCAGGCCTTCTTGATGTTTCAAGTCTTTTCATGCTGCCGTGTATATATAAATAGTGAGACCCAGTAATCCAGTTATGTGGGGATTTTAAACTGGCACAGATGTGCTGACTTGCTCTCTGGCCTGTTGAGTATTTCTGTCACAGCCTTGTTAATGGCAGCCAGCCTCCCCTTAGTAAGGGGCGGAATCTAGTTACAGTACTATGCATTCTGTGCCCAAGCACACGCACCTGAGCAAAGGCAGACTTGCTGGGTCTCATCTTTCACTGCTTCAATGCAGATTCTGCTGACAAGTCAAGGAGCCCTCCAGAGACCCAGCCGTCTTGTGTTCACAGACGTTGCCAATGCCATCAATGCATGAACAATACCTGCCCCTGCTCTGGGATCGTGCTGAGACTGGGGAGGATGAAGCCAACAAACCAGTGACTTCCCGCAAGCATGGCCGATCCACTGAGCCCAGCTGGTCACCCCGTTGGTTTGTGTTATAGATGGGCACAAGCACTGGGAACTGTTGTCACTTTGGGAAGCAAACCCTTTGTGATGGCAGTGGTGATTTTTTGGTGCATCTGTTACCTCTAAAAGGTCCTGAGCTGCAGTTTCTGGGCTGCTGCTGACTGATACCATCTACCAAGCTGCGTGCTTAGGAACAGTGCCTGCTTTGTTGTAGATTAACTTGTCAGAGCAGATGTGCATGATCTCTGGGTTAGGGAAGGAGGAGAGATGCACATTTTGGAGAGCTTCCCCATTGGCTTTGTGCCAGCAGGCCCCAAGGAAAGCAACGAGTGAGCCTCAGTACAGTGACTGCAGCTTTGTCAGATCCTGGAGGGGTGACTGGTGGCAAAGCCCCTTTGAGCAAGGAGAGCTGACTCCCCTAGCTGAGTGGTAATCTGGGGCACACCAGGGAAAACACATACCATAGGCTTATCCCCCTTGTTGGTGTGTGGGCTGCTGATAAACATGCACCCGGGGTGATGTTGAAGTATGGGGAATTCACTAGCTTTAAAAAGTGAAATGGTTAACATTTGGCCGATTACATCTTAACTGGGGAAGTGGCTGAATATCCCAAATTAGGGCTGCGGTATAGACAGAGGGGAACTCCCAGCTAGTGGCAATGGGTGTCAATGTCTGGCTACGTGACTCCCTGCCGCTGAGCTAGGAATAATGGTGCTTGGGCCACAGAGAGGAGTCGAGTGGGAGTTTGATACCCTGTATCCCCCTCCTGCTTTGGCTCAGGGAAGTTTCTACAGTGCAGAGTGTTATCCAGAAAAAAAGATTAAGCCTTGAAATATTTTCTTTTAAATAAGGAAAAAAATGTTTTGGCTCAACATTACAACAGCCCCATGTCTGCCCCCAGAGGTGACTGAACAGCTGGTTCGTACTTCCTTACCTGCCAG